CTCTAACCCAAGTTTTAAAAAGCACATTGTGCATATAAAAGTTGAGTTTATACTAATAGTACACAATGCTTGGCAGCATGAACGGCTATGTACAATGGCGTATACGAATGCAATCAGATACTAAAACGTCACAGCTTTGAAAAGTACCCGGATGTTAAATATGTTTGTTCGTTAATTATTCCCCTCCATGAATGGCCTCCATGGCAAGCACTTCAAATGCCTATCCAAGCAACAGTTATAATTAAAACAAAATTAAACCACTGCAATATTATTTCGAGTACAGTTTAGAATATACACAACTATAAATTAAGGCCGCATTTAGGTTCGCTTTAATTTTAACTGATTGTAAGTGTAATTTGAGAGTAAGCTGGGTTTGAAAGCAAGCTAAGCTAGTAATCTAGTTTAATGTGAAGATGCATGCATCTCACTCCAAATTTAATATGTACATGAAATAGTCATATAAATATTTTTCCCTGGAATTATATAAATCAAATTTGTGTTACCTCATGAGTTTAATCATGGAATTCAAATCAGTGACTTTGGATTGATCCCGTCTGAATATCTGAGCTCTTGGAGTCTTATCATAAGTGAACCAGTCACCATATTTAGCAACGTTTTCTGGACAACCACTGGTGTTGAAGATTTCCTTGAAATATCTAGAAAATATGATTTATAAATAATTATCTATATCTGAAACAAATGCATGTCAATTCTTTGGATAAAAATAGATGCATGGCTAGTGTTTGCATAGACACATAGAATGAGGAACATCCACTGGTGGCACTGTTTATATACACTATATAAAAAAAAAAAAAAACTTTATTATTTACAAACCAAAAAAAATTGTAACTTCTTTACAGTTATAATAAAGGTTATTATTATTATTATATATTATACAAGCCATGCATGACACAGTCCCTGTTAGTTATCAAATTTAAGATAAATAGTTTTGTTTATAGTAATATAGTTGGAACATAAACATGTCAGAAGTATGGATCCAGTAGATGATGCTGATTATGATGATTTTTTTATCATTAAAATGATTGACATCTTGTATGTGATCATCAAACAAGTACATGAACTTGTCCATATTGAGAAATATTGCTCTGGACCAGCATGAATTAAAACAAAATGGCCACCAGTCAGCCATTTTGAATACAACTATATATTTGTAACATGATGTAGAACGAATATATATAAAATTTGAACATATTCAGTCGAAGCATATCAGAGATATGGCTCTAGAAGTGAATGTTGTTTTCAGACTGCGTCTGAACGGGGACTAACACATTTTTAGTGGCTTGCAAAGGTAGACTTGTACGTAGTACAAGACGATGCAGCATTTGTTAAATCTGGTCACTGGTATGGTAGAAAGTGTGTACAGTTCTCTAATAAACACAATAGATCAAGTGGAGGTCAAGGCCAAAACTATGTTTTTGCAGCATTCCATAATAAATGCTGTTTATTAATAAGTTGCAATTTAAATTTCATGAGATATGTCTACATCATAACCTCGTATAGTTATTAGCATACTATGTATGCAGTGTGCAAGTTATTGTTGGTACTTTCCCACTGTTATTGATTATGACAAATTTTGGTCAAGCCAGTCCATGGATCTTAGTACAGATACTTGCACTTAGTGAGAGGAACCTTTGTACATCATGTTCAATGAATCCTGTCTTTACCAAATTTCGGCATAATCACTCATACTTTCATAACTGCCTTCACAACAATCTACACTGTCTCCTTCTTCAACACCAAGGCACAATATCCTTCCTTCCCTTAATAACATTTAACAGTTATTAACACATGTCAACTTCAGTGAACAATTTCCAGTTCTTGTTTACATAACTCTGGATTTCTGAAGTATGTTGCACCAACCTTACAGCTTTAGAAAATTACACGGATAGTACTTGCAAGCAGAAGTCATAGATGATTGCAATGGAGAATTTTAATTCAATTTGATTCTAAAATTAGAATTAGCAGATTGATGGTCAAACAATTCAATGTCTTTTGATGGGTTCTAAAACATCCTTCAAGTTTCTGGATGTTCTAAGTAACTTTCTATAATGTCCTTGATCAGGACTTCTATCTCAATTTCTAAACTATACAAATTAGTGTTAGTAATTTGATTACTGTGAAAGCTGGAATTAATTTTTGCTGAAAAGACATTTTGGTTGTTTATTTTCAATGATTTTTGATTTGAATGTAAAATATAGGGAAAGAAGTTATTTTCCCTTCAGCAAAAAGAACAAACTTAAAATAAATACCAAGCAAAAAATAAAATAATCTATAATAGTATAACTGAAGCATAATATTTTAAAAAGTATATTTTCCCACAATGATCTGCCACTGGTTATTTGATTAATTATAATTCATTTTATTTGTGTATAACCATCCACCAGAGATGAACCCGCAATGGACCATTCCAGTTTATATCTGCACCCCCCTGTTGATGGGGTCGAATTCCAACTTATATGGAGAAACAGAATCTGGAAATCCAGAGGAGTATGTAAAAAAAAACGGCAGTTATGGCTACTAAATAAAATGTGGCCTAGTTTATCTCACCACCGGTTGATGAGGTTGGATTTCCAACACTGTGTGACTAAAAAAACTTGGAATTCTGACTGTATTGGGCCAGTATGAAATAGTTATTACTGAAATTAGATAATGATGGTGGGACGATTGAGCTCATCAACACCGTGAATCAGGACTAGTTTGGATTTCCATTATCAGATATAAAATTTTGAACTTGGTAAATTAGCATATGATGAGTATTATATTTGGAAATCCTACTCTGTATGGTGTCACAAAGGAACTCATCAACACCATAAGTAGGACCTATAGTTTTGGATTTCCATTACTGTATGGTGAATGGTGATTTGGAAATAAAACATAGATAGCAGGGGTACCAAACATAGTAGGGTCATAACATGGAAAGTTGGAGGGGGTTCCAACATGAGAATTGGGGTACCCAAAGTAGGAAATGGATACATGCATTACCAATATCAGAAATAGGGTTATCCAAACTAGAAAGTGATAGGGTTGCATGCAACATGGAAAGTGGGAGTAATTTCCCAACATTTCATTGGTTACCAAAAATGGTTAGGTACTTAACATATGAAGTGGGAATACCCAGCAAAGGAAGTGGGAGTACCAACAAATGAAGTGGGAGTACCAAACAAAGGAAGTGGGAGTACCAAACAAAGGAAGTGGGAGTACCCAACAAAGGAAGTGGGAGTACCCAACAAAGGAAGTGGGAGTACCCAACAAAGGAAGTGGGAGTACCCAACAAAGGAAGTGGGAGTACCCAACAAAGGAAGTGGGAGTACCCAACAAAGGAAGTGGGAGTACCCAACAAAGGAAGTGGGAGTATCCAACAAAGGAAGTGGGAGTACCCAACAAAGAAAGTGGGAGTACCCAACAAAGGAAGTGGGAGTACCCAACAAAGGTAGTGGGAGTACCCAACAAAGGTAGTGGGAGTACCAAATAAAGGAAGTAGGAGTACCAAACAAAGGAAGTGGGAGTACCAAACAAAGGAAGTGGGAGTACCCGACAAAAGAAGTGGGAGTACCCGACAAAGGAAGTGGGAGTACCAACAAATGAAGTAGGAGTACCAAACAAAGGAAGTGGGAGTACCAAACAAAGGAAGTGGGAGTACCAAACAAAGGAAGTGGGAGTACCCAACAAAGGAAGTGGGAGTACTCAACAATTTAAAGGAAGTGGGAGTACCCAACAAAAGAAGTGGGAGTACCCAACAAAGGAAGTGGGAGTACCAAACAAAGGTAGTGGGAGTACCAAATAAAGGAAGTGGGAGTACTCAACAATTTAAAGGAAGTGGGAGAACCCAACAAAAGAAGTGGGAGTACCTAACAAAGGAAGTGGGAGTAGCTAACAGAGGGAGTGGGAGTACCCTACAAAGGAAGTGGGAGTACCCAACAAAAGAAGTGGGACTACCCAACAAAGGAAGTGGGAGGACCAAACAAAGGAAGTGGGAGTACCAAACAAAGGAAGTAAGAGTACCCAACAAAGGAAGTGGGAGTACCCAACAAAAGAAGTGGGAGTACACAACAAGAAAGTGGGAGTAGCTAACAGAGGAAGTGGGAGTACCCTACAAAGGAAGTGGGAGTACCCAACAAAGGAAGTGGGAGGACCAAACAAAGGAAGTGGGAGGACCAAACAAAGGAAGTGGGAGTACCCAACAAAGTAAGTGGGAGGACCAAACAAAGGAAGTGGGAGTACCCAACAAAGTAAGTGGGAGGACCAAACATTGGAAATGAGAGTACCCAAAAAAAGAAGTGGGAGTATCCAACAAAGGAAGTGGGAGTATCCAACAAAAGAAGTGGGAGTATCCAACAAAGGAAGTGGGAGTACCCAACAAAGGAAGTGGGAGTACCTAACACTCCTACCTACCAAATATAAAGGGTGTTGGTGGTAGTGCCAGTATTAGGCAGGGGTGATGGGGTTAGGGTGTTTTGGAAAAGCGTGATTGCATTGTTGATAGTGCCAGCATATTTCTTTTTTTGTTGTGGAGTTCTGTTGACTTTTTACCAGAAGTAATTACAAGTTCAACTCCAAAACAATGATGTGACTTGTAGGCATAGTAACCATATCTGATGTAGATGTTTAGTTCAGAAAAAAGTTGACATTCAATAGAATGTAATTGAAATGAGAGAAAGTAATAGTTGCTATTGTGAGAACACTCTTGGAAGAAGATAACATTACTGACAAGTTTAAGGTTTTAATTCATGAAATCAAAGGAATTCAAAAGCAGTTGTAATGTTGAGTGTGTATAACGTACAGCAACACAGAAACGACAAAGTTTTGAACATATCCATGCTGTTAATGCAATGTAATCTATGACATTCCCCACCCCATTAAGTGTGCCCTTTATTGATAACATGTACAAAACATAACAAAACAAGCAGCCTATCGGCTGAGATAGCTCTGCTGTTAGCAATGCACATTTCAATTAAAGAACTGAAGACATCATTAGAAAATGAACAATATGTATAGTATCAAAGCAATCGGACTTACAGTTTTTAACAAGAAGTCGAAAATATCACTTTCTATCAAAAATGACCAAAATATTCACCAAAATTAGAGAATTGAAGATATCATCACGAAATGAACAAATCTGAGAAAGGTCTACATGTAGAATCTATATGTGTAATATCAAAGCAATTGAACTTTTTGGTTTTTAACAAGAAGTCAAAAATATCACTTTTTACCAAAAATGACAAAAATATTCACCAAAATTAAAGAATCGAAGATATCATCACGAAATGAACAAATCTGAGAAAGGTCTACATGTAGTATCTAAATATGTAATATCAAAGCAATTGAACTATTGGTTTTTAACAAGAAGTCGAAAATATCACTTTTTACCAAAAATTACAAAAATATTCACCAAATTTAGAGAATTGAAGACATCATCACAAAATGAACAAATCTGACAGAGGTCCACATGTAGTACCTATATATGTAATATCAAAGCAATTGAACTTGTGGTTTTTAACAAGAAGTCGAAAATATCACTTTTTACCAAAAATGATAAAAATATTCACCAAAATTAGAGAATTAAAGATATCATTACAAAATGAACAAATCTGTAAGAGGTCCACATGTAGTACCTATATATGTAATATCAAAGCAATTGCACTTGCATTTTTTAACAAGAAGTCGAAAATATCACTTTTTACCAAAAATGACAAAAATATTCACCAAAATTGGAGAATTGAAGATATCAACATGAAATGAACAAACCTAAGAGAGGTCTACCCAAGGTACATATACACCAAGTATCAAAGCATTCAGGCTTGTAGTTTTCAAGAAGAAGTCGAAAAAGTAAAACATTGACACGGACGACGACGACAGACAATCACTCATATGATAAGCTCCGCTCGACAAAGTCGACAGCGGAGCTAAAAATCAAAGAAAATGCTGAGAAAGGTTGAAAAAAATAATTCAAAGAAACAAATGAACATTTTTGAATTTCTCATTCAAAAGAAAATAAGAAGTTAAAAAAAATAAGGTCTTAGCATAGGATTTGATCTCTTGATCTTCTTTTGATATTCAACTTCATTAGCAAAAGTCTCAACCACTAAGCCATGAAGTTACTATTTGCCAATTATACCCACAGATTAACCATATAGCAATCAGCTAAATATTATTTGTGTTTTCTTACCATAACAACAACGGCAGACATTTTGCCATGTACTATGACTTTTCCCTTCATTTCATTATAGGCAAGCCTATATATAAGCCTATATGCGTATATATTGATGATAATGTTATACTTACGGAACATTATAGCTGGGCCAATACATCTGAGTAGTCAACAAATCAGTTTTATCTTCAGCTACTACCAGACCACTAGTTTCAGGGATCAAAAAAAGACAAGAGCAAAACACATGAAATACGTGCCAATGTGAAATGTGACATTATATTCAAATTAGCTAATTAATATGCAGGGATTTTAGCCCAAAACTTAGCAGATCTGTAAACTAAGCAGCATTTACAGTTACAAATTGACTATTTTTTTGCAATAATGCCAATAGTTTTGAAATGGTTTAAAGATTTTAGTGACCTTTTGTATATGCACATTTTAAGGTACACGAAAGATATATACAGCTGATATACTTTTATGTCAATGAAAATACAGTATAGAGATTACCACAACATGTAAATAAACAAGATATACTGAACTTACGGTAACTGTTCTAATATTACCAATAGTCCAGTTTTAGGTGTCAATCCAGGGGAAAATTTATTGTAATCAACAACCATCCATTGATTGTTATATCTGTAAATAAAAGTTCACGAGGGGTGATCAATAAGTGAGGGGTGATCAATAAGTGAGGGGTGATCAATAAGTTCTCGGCCTCATCAAGAAACAAGGGGGGAACTTCTATTCTGAGATATAACTTTATACTATAATGTATCATGTCACTACCTATAGAAATGCAAATTTAGGTATTCATTAATTAACTCTTGGTGCCCATTTAATATCAGGTGAGACGAAAATCACAAAAAGGACCAGACAGAAGCCAGTGCTGTGATCAAGTGTCTCTATAAAAAGGGGATGACTCTCAAAGAAATCCACCAAGACATAGTCACAACACTTGGTGAGGACTCCCCTTCTTATTCCACTGTAAAGAAGTGGGTTGCTATGAAAGCATGGAAGACGACCCAATGTCTGAACGTCCAATATCTGCCACCATGGACAATCAGGTTGAGGCCATCCATTGCATGGTATAGATGACAGACGTGTCACTATCCGACATATCAGGCATTCACTAGGCATTAGTTATGGTGTAGTTCAAAATGTTTTGTCGAACATCTTGGCCCATTTCCAGTCAAATCCCAAGATGAGACATGGGTTGACCATTTTGATCCAGAATCAAAAGAGCAGAGCAAACAATGGACACACAAGGGTTCACGGTCTGTCAAGAAGTGTGTGGCATCATCGGCCTCTGTGTTCTGGGACAGCAAGGGAGTCATCATGATTGACTACTTGCAAAAGGATCAAACAATCAATGAAGAGCACTATTTCTACCAGTTTCGTAAACTGAAGTCCACTTGCGTGGTCACTGTTTTGAGACTGATGATGACGTCATCCAAGCTGTTGTGGTATATCTAAAGGATCAAGATAAAACCTTCTTCCAGCAGAGAATAGGAAAACTGGAACATCGATGTAAAAAGTATTTTGTGCATTGAATTGTTGAAGAATACTGTAAGACAAATATTTCTTCTGTATATGGGAGTTATATTTGTGCATGTTTTCCCTGATACATATATTTATAGTGCATGTACTGCAAGAGTCATCGGACAATCTAACAAGTGATACAAAATGATAATCATTCATCACACAATTCCAAATTCCAAAAGGACACAATTGTAATTTTCTAACTGCTCAGTTGCAGACAATCATTAATATTATGATATAATTTGTCCTAGCAAGGAGAATAATAATATACAAGTTATTATATTTTCCATTCAGTAATTTAAATGCCTTTATATTTTGAAGTCAGTAAGATTAAGCTTAAGTCACCGAGATTAAACTTAAGTCACTGAGAATCAAACAAGGTTCCAGACAATTTGTTTCAGAAGTGGATTCAATGAAAATGGCTTTTATTGGTTCTTGGAAAAAATAAACAAGCAGCCTATCGGCTGAGATAGCTCCCCTGTTAGCAATGCACATTTCAATTAAAGAACAGAAGATATCATTAGAAGATGAACAATATGTATAGTATCAAAGCAATCGGACTTACAGTTTTTAACAAGAAGTCGGAAAATATCACTTTCTACCAAAACTGACAAAAATATTCACCAAAATTAGAGAATTGAAAATATCATCACGAAATGAACAAATCTGAGAAAGGTCTACATGTAGTATCTATATATGTAATATCAAAGCAATTGAACTTTTGGTTTTTAACAAGAAGTCGAAAATATCACTTTTTACCAAAAATTACAAAAATATTCACCAAAATTAGAGAATGGAAGATATCATCACAAAATGAACAAATCTGAGAGAGGTCCACATGTAGTACATATATATGTAATATCAAAGCAATCGGACTTACAGTTTTTAACAAGAAGTCGAAAATATCTGTCACGGGGTAGGCTAGCATCCGACCACAAAGTGATAAGAGGCACGCCTTCACCTCGTGTTGTGGGTTCTTTGACACCCTACTGATTGAAATATCGAAAATAAGCCAGCTAATGCCTGGATTGTTCCC